GGCTTTTAAAGCATCACCCTGACAATTTTGGGTACTATAGTTTTTCTTCATTTCACATACACATGCAATTTTGAAGGTTGACATGTTTGGTATCTATTTGCTTGGCACAACCCCACCTTTTAAATTTTACCAAAAATTGGGTGGTATATTGCATTAATGTTCATACAATTAATTGAAATGTGTATTTTTTTCTTTTTTTTCACTGAAAGTCTGGGTCTGATAAATATCTATGATCGCGTGACATACAAAATTGTACCTGTCCACATTTTATTCCACACGATCTCAGAAAATATATAATTCTTGCAGAGAGGGGGGGGGGATTAAGAAATCCTCATGCCTAGAGTGCGCATTTTAACATATGTGCAAAGCTGGCTCTGGCAGCGAAAGGGTTAAATTACAGCATTGACAATACTGCACTTCTGCAGGATGCATGAGTTAGGATTCCTCTTCTGCTTTTTGTACTAGAGACCCGTAGGTGTCCCCTTTTAGCTGTGTAAACGTGACACAAAAACCTCCCTGCGATCACCAAGAGAAACCCATCTGTCTGATTAACCTTTTAACCCTCACTTGTTTCTGTACCAGGAGCTCAGATTTAATTGAACTGTCTTATGGCAACTGTAATCAGCCGTCAATACGTGTCAATGTATCCCTAAACCAAAACACAAATGGCACAGTTTTGCTAAATACAAATGAAGCCTTCAAAGTGAATTGATTGGCCTTCAGTTCTTAAGTGCCAGAGATGAAAACAAAAGTCATTTACATAAACCTATAAGTCATTCCATGATTAGCAATGCTTTACTTCATTCCCCGCTACCAAAACAGCTCAATGTGAATTGCTCCATAGATTTTTCCGCTAACACCCTTCCCCCCGCAAAACTGCAAATCCATTTTGCCATCTCCGCACTCTGATATTAATCAAATATATCACTTGTTTTTCACTTTGCTGTGCTGCCATGCTAATCAGTATTTGTAAAGCCAGAAATCTTAAACTCCACTTATTACCTTGGGGGAAAAAAGGGGGGAAAAAACGGTTTAAAAAGCCTCAGGCAATCTTTAGACGTCTTTCTTACTTAGCTCAAAGCAAACTATTTAGATACATTTTTTTCCTACTGCAATTTTCCTGTTACTGACATATGAACAGTTAGCAGAGAAGCAGAGTTTTTATTTTTCTAAAATATGTAAAATAAAGAAGTTGTAATCTTTGGCCATGTTGCAAAACAACCTTTGGGTGTGTTATTACTATTAAAAAATATAGGTTAATATTAGGGATGTCCCGATACCGATGCTAGTACCGGTATCGGGGCCAATACAGGGCATTTTCAGGAGTACTTGTACTCCTGAAAATGCCCGATGCCTAGATCAGATAATTTTAACTAGCTTCGGCCATTGACAGCCATAGCCCCTCCCCCGGAATACCTCTCCACCAAACGAGGCTCCCTCTCCGCTCTGACCTCTCCGGAAGTGTGACAGCATGGCGGGGGGACGTGTTGTGTGGACAGTCTCTTCTCTTCTCCCTCCTGGTGCCGGCTGCAGAGCTCGGTGTCCCTTTCACAGACCTCTGTAGCCAGCACGAGAAGGCAGAAGAGACTGCAGCTGTGATCCCCCGCTGCCCCCCTCCCCCCTGTATCTCAGCTGCGGCTGCTCCTCCGTGTCCCGTCCTTTTCAACGTATGAATCGGTTTCCTTTTGGTGATATATGTCAGTGTGAGATTCCACGCTCCTTGCTGCACAGCAGTTTTCACTCTCATTGTAAGAAGAGAATGTCCGTTCAGTGTGCTCACGGGGGAGAGAAGCTGTAAATCTTGCCTTCACACAGAACGGACATTTTCTTCTTTCATTGAGAGGGAAAACTTCTGTGTGGGTCTGGTGAGAGCATTATTAAACACATAAGAAGCATGGACATCTTACACTGAGATATATCACCAAAAGCAAACAGTTACATCAAGTGGAAAAGGAATGGACACTTGTAACAATAGACAGCCTGCTACTGGATATTTTAAATTGCAATAGCCAATACCAGGCTGGCTATTGTAACCCCCCCATTGCCTGCTGTAAATCAGTAAGAGAGGACCTGATTGAGAACTTCGTCCTCAGTTCCCTCCTTCGCTGATTGACAGCAGGCAGTGGGCGGGTAGTACAATAGCCAGCCTGCTATTGGCTATTGCAATTTAAAATATCCAATAGCAGGCTGGCTATTGCTCCCAGCCACTGCCTGCTGTATTTACATTCAGTGAATCCAGTGAAGTAGAAAGGTGACACTAGGTCTAAAAGACCTCTAATGTCACCTTAAAGAGAACCTGTCACCTCCAATGCACGCAGCACTGGTGAGAAACTGCCCTAAAATCATTAGTCTGTATTGTTTTATAAAAAATGTCACATGTCCCTTTAAGAAAAAGTATCGGTAATTGGTATCAGCAAGTACATGAGGGACAGTACTTGGTCTTGAAAAAGTGGTATTGGGACATCCCTAGTTAATATAATAAAATAATAATATTAAATGAATAATATAATTAATAATAAAACATAGACAAACCGCTGAATAGGACTCGATATACACAGAAATGTTTACTGTTCTAGTAGAGATCAGGATGAGTTCGCCAAAGCATGCTTGAAATCTGACCGGCACACCCTCCTACCGACCCCATCAGTGTCAGTAGTTGTGGTGGGACTCTCCCTTCCCCTTTGTGACATATAGTTGCGGGACAGGGAATGAGCTTTCCCGCAACTGATTGGGGCAGGAAGAGGGAGTAGAGGTCAGAATTCTGAGCGGGCTTGACAAACTAGGTTTGCACCAAGCATTGCTTTATCACTATGTTACTACATACCCAAGGATTTAAAATTCTGTTCAGATGCTGGACAATGAAGTGGTATCGTCATCTCATTGTCCAGGTGACATAGGACAATGAAGTGGCATCATCACCTGTGACAAATGCGTGAGCCAAGAACCAGTAATGCTAAACCAGGAAGTAGCAGAGTGATTACTGACAGTTTTGCACAGGCGAACCCCATTCGCAGAAAGCTCACGCTTGGTGTGTAAAGCAAGACTGGCTGGCAACAACAACAAACCCCTTATCAGGTAATTGTTTTGTTTGCCAGTATATGTATTTCACCTGTGTAGTTAATTGATTAACCTGCTCATTTTTATTTGATGCATATCATAATTCTTTTTCGTTACAAATCAGACTGGTTTTCCAACAAATGTTTCTCTTTAGGGCCTATGAACCTTTTCCCCATTCTGCCTCTCCCCATCCATCTCTCTTATATAGCAGCATCTCTTAGAAGACACTGCTAGTACACATGCTTGACAGATAACAAAGCAATGAATTGTGGGAGGTTAGGTCACATTTTAAGAGTTCTAAAAATAATTTGAAGCCAACAGGGAGGACTGGCATATGGCACACACTTTGCTGTTATAATACCAAAATTGTTATGCAAAGGGAACCTGTACGGTGAGAAATATAGAAGCTGTCACTGCTGATCTCCTAAGATGCTAGTTGCTTGGCTGACTTTAGCTTCAATGCTTTGAGCCATTGACATGGAATAAGCAAAAGGATTAGCAAATCAGACTGAAGTCACATCTTTTGATGTGAACACTTGTTTTGGGTAGTGACTCAAAGTAATGAAGCCACGAAAACAAATAACCTTAGTGCTCACACTTATACTAAAGTTTTTTGGGATATCGCTCTAGTTGTTGCATCTGTTTTATCAGTATAAAGGAAGCAAACTAGCATTTTTCAAAGGAGAGTTCAACAATCTTCATATTTCCTCCGTACAGGTTTCCTGTAAATTAAATAATTTATTTACATTGACAAGCCTAATGTATTGTACCGCCAACATATTTCACATGCAACAGATGTTGCAGAGAGGAGACCACAAGGACACAGTAGGAGAGACCTGCTGGTATTTCTTGGTTGAAGGGCAAAGTCTACATTTCCATAGCTTAAAGGAGAACTATGGGGTTAAGGCTTTTCCCCATAGTTTTCCTTAGGGTAACGGGAGGACACAAACTAGCGTCCTCCCATCACCCTAGGCTCAGTATACCTGTAGCTGTAGCTCGCGGTATACTGCGACGCCGCAGTGAGACGCCATAGCTGAAGCGGATCCTAGCAATTGTGCCGGGATCCGCCCAGTTGCGTGACTGACAGCTGGCTCTGCCTATCTAGAGGCAGAGCCAGCTGTACCCGCCCCCTACCCTGTCCGTTCCGCCAGTCAGCGCTGGCGGATCGGAGCGGGGAGGGGGGAATCCAGCCCCTCCCCTGTCACGGCAGAGAGCCGTGACAGGATGGAGAGGTGAGCGAACGCCGGTATGTGTTCGCTCACCTCCCAATCCACTGAGCCGACCTGTGACAGTCTCATTGTCACAGGTAGGCTAGAACTATGAGGTGAGTGAAAAGCACTCACCTCATAGTTCTCCTTTAACATGCACTTTTACACCTACTTTATGAGCAAAAGTATGTGGAAGACCCTCCAAATTATCCAGATTGTAGCATTAGCAGTACCCTTTAGTGAAAAGTCTCAAAGCAATTTAGATAACTGTACACTGTCAAGCTTGTAACAACAGTTTGGAGAAGGCCCCGTTCCTTTCCAGGATGACTCTGCCCCTATGCACAAAGCCAGCTACAAGAAGACATGGCTTGATGAGCTTCATGTGGAGGAAGTGGAGAGACCGGATCCTCGACTCTATTTAACACCTTTATTCTAAGTTGGAACCCCAACAGTGAGTAAGGTCTACTGATACAGCATCATTACCTGACCTCTTAAATACTCTTTTGGCTAATGGGCACAAACTCCCACAGGCACGCAAATTGAAAGGGGGCAACTCCATAGTGATGTTCATGGTTTTGGAATGGAATGTCCAACAAACTCATACAGATGTAATGGTCAGATATCCACAAACATTTTTTCATATAGTGTAGGATAAAAATAAATGTTCAAATGTGAAATCTGCACATCACACAATAGCAAGGAACATGGCAAGCACTTAAATAGATTCTTACGTACCTTAACTATAACAGTCTGATCGGTCTGGCTGCTTGTCATCGCATTGATTGATTTGAACAACTTCAGCAAAGATTCCATGAACTCAGCTTCTCCTTTATTTTCATAAAGTCTAATGTTAAAAAAAAAGAAACCTTAGTTTGTCACCATAGAAAAATAGTTTTTTAAATATTGTTCTGAAATTACAGAGTGCTGTATGTCAAAAGGCAGGAATCTGTACAAGCAGCTGTGTAAGGGCCTGTATAGAGGCCTTTTTTTGCGGCTGATCTGCGCTTTTGCTTACACAACTTAATGACCAGATAAATGCAGCTTGGAGCAGCTCAGTGAGAGGTCAATAGCATCTTAGAAGGAACTCTGGAACTCTCAAATGCAAGTCAAATGCACCTGAAAGCATGCTGCATAATTCTGTCTATGCAAACCCTTAGGAGGAGTTATTTTCTTTCCAGTTTTACAGATGAGGTGAGACTTGCCGATAAAAGCACTAATCTTTTGCATTAATGCAGTTACAGCTATGTGCATATAAAACAATAACAAACTATAAAAAGGAGAACTATAATTATTTCATGTTTCTTAGACACACACATTAAAAGAGATTAACTAAATCTGTGTTAAAGCCCAACTCCAGCTGGGGAGTTCTATGTTCTTTTTTCCCCCTCAGGTTTTCTGTCCAGTCATGTGATGTCACATGTCCTCTTACTCCAGTGCTAGGTGGCCTTGAATGCTGCAAAGAATGGAGCTTAGGTAATAATGTGAGTACAGTTCCTGCTGCCTACTACTGTGAGCCAAGGGTGACTTGATGATGCACCCACAGGGGGTATATGTCCATGATGTCCTGGGTTAACAGGAATGGATTGAACATCACTGGGCAACTGTCAACCTGAAAAAGGACCACCATGGAATCACACAGTGGGAAGTTGGCAGTGGACAGTGCCAGACATGTTACAGTGAGAGCTGCTTTTTGTACTTTTTGTACTTGTACATTTTTAACACTTTTTAAGTTAAAGATGGGCTTTAATCATATACATGGTAACAGTCTTTTTAATCCTCTGATCTCACTACTGATTGATACAATTGGGTTTTATAAATCGTATAATTGGTAGCGGCAGGCCATATGATCTAGCCTGCCTAAGCTAGGGGCTCAGGAACAGCAAGAGCAACACAGCAAAAGAGAAGATCGACCCTCCAGGGATATCAGCAAGTGAAATATTAAACACATAAAAAAAAAAAAAAAGAAGATGTTACAATATTTCTGTTTAGGTAAAAATTAGATAAACGTACTGAATAAACAAAATTCTTGAGCGCACAATGAATTTGAAGATGTATTCCAGTGCTTTCATTACTTTAAATACTTGTTCTGTGATACCGGGTTTATCTGCATTTTCCACATAGTTTTTTAGCACCTTTGTCAGTTTTCTGAAACACAGAAATATACATAAGTAAATTGTAGCATTTAAATGTTCCTCACAATGACAGTTATTCAGTGTAATAAGTAAAGGATACATTAGAAAAAAAAAAAAGGGCAGGAACTCAAACCAAAACTTAGAGAGAAAATCAATATACAGTATATATAAGGGAAAGGGTGGAGGAGAGAGAGGGTGGGGGAGAAGAGAAAGAACAGAGAGGGGTAAAGGAAAGAGAGAAAGAAAGAGGAGATGGTTTAGTTGCTGTTCCGCTTGGCAAATGCCAAGAGATCAAGCCACCAATAGGCAGAGCTAGACCTTGCTAAAAATCACAAAACATCCAGCAAAAGACTACAGAAGCAAATATGGTCAGCTAAATTTTTTGGCAGATAAGAACTTAGAGGTCATATAGTCTCCGTTTTTTATTCTACCACTATAGTTGTCTAGGTCGTTGATGGATTTGTGCATCTAAGGTTAGATCCTTTAAGGGTGCAAGATGTCTTTCATTTGTGTATTACAGGCAGCCCATCTTCGGGGAGGGGGGGGGGGTTTCTAAAAACCACAGACTTGAGTTTGGCTTAGTAGCAAGGTATGTGTCTGCAAGTTGTAGGAACATATTAGCATTGGATCATTGTCAATGCAGGGTAAAATACCAAGGTAACACAGAGTAAAGTATACTACCTCATAAATGATGTATAATGAGACATCTACCTAACCTCAGAACCAACATTCCTGCACTGGGATCTTGATGGATTCTTAGTCAATGGTGATCGCTGTCCTTTACTTGTGGTATGTTGACTCTACCCTCTTCTACATAGAAAATAGAAGGATCAAGGAGGGTATCCAAAAACTTGAAAAATCTTGTTTAAAGGTAATCTGCTCTTAATCTACTCTTCAAGAGAGTCATAGACGGCATCATGATGTTTACATTGGAGGGCATTGTTTGTAAATCATGCCACCCTAAAAAAAGAGACAGTCCCAGTTTTTAAACAAAATTGCTTCTCATAAAGCTTAGTGGTTAACACTTCTGCCTTGCAGCACTTGGGTTCCCAGTTCATATCCCGTTCAGGACACTATCTGCCTGGAAATTGCATGTTCTCCCTGTGCTTGTGTGGGTTTCCTGTGGGTACTCCGGTATCTTCCCACACTACAAAGACATGGGGGCAGGATAATTGGCTTAATTGGCTCCTGTTTTAGATTCTAAGTTCCTACTTATAAATAAAGTGAACGTGTCAGTTATAGTAAACCAAGGTGTCTACAATTACATCTGTTTGCCAGAAAAGCTTATTTTCTAGTTTACTTTCCTAGTTTACTGTGTTACTAAGGACATGCCTTCCTAGCTTTCAGACCTGAGCCTTTCTATACACTAACGGGCCCCCAGTTAAACTGGGCTAAGCTCTAGGTGGGTTTCATTTTAAAAGTTTAAAATGTTCACATCAGCCTCACAGAAAGTCTGAACTTCCACTCAACAACAACTTATTTCACCTAAATGTCTGAAGATGTTACTCTGGAGCGAATACAGCTTTAGGTCGCATTAAAAAAAGGGAGGGAGGCTTGGAACTATTATGTCTATCTACCCGGGGGGGGGGGGGATAAACTGCTCTGAGAATGAATTTAGGCATAAGATCCCATTTAAAATATGCTGCATGTGTGTGCGCATTCTCTGGAAGGCTCACTAACCCGCTTTGAATATTAAAAGGTAAATGCAAAACCAAACTTTTGCCGATTTCCATTAGGAAGGATTAAGCATCTATTTGCATGCATTAAATAGGTCAGAAATCAGTGAAGAATATATAAACCCCAGGCAGCAAGCGTTTAGCGGCGTCCTGAGTAGCCTTGCAGTGAGCGCACAGTGTCACTGCTGATCTCAATGTGGAGGAAGATTAAACGTACGTGTAAGCTAAGGTTGCACTGAAATGTTTCTTTATGTAGGTCTCCAAAACAGGATTGAAGTGTTGAAACTTGCGATCTGCAATCAGGCCAATAATAAACACCTGAGAAAAGGGGAGGGAAAAAAATGTACTCATTAAATATGAATTAATGTAGGAAGCAGATCCCACCTTCTATCACACAGAAAATGCTTGAAGCATGGGAGATACCACTAGAAGAGAATATTACAACAGGAGAAGTGAACACAGCTGAGACCATGGTCTTGTACAACAGTCGCTCATATACATTGTTGGATATATATTTGTAAGTGTGCACTCTAGTCAAACTACTCGCAAAGGGTTTTTTTTTTTGCCATTCTGGAAATGTTATTAGGACACCCCGCCAGCTTATTGTGTAAAATCCCCTGTCAGCAGCATGGAATTCTGGGAACTACATATCTTGAGCCTCCAATAAGTAGAGGATTCCCCCCTTTCTCTGTGGTCTAGCTACACACATTTCTGATTGCATGTTCTTGTTCATTCTGAAAGAAATTATATATGTCCCTGACAACCTTGCTGATATCTATTGGTGGCATTAAAGCAAAGAAAAATATACATCTGAATAGCCATGACTGCAAAAGATAATATACTCTGTCAAGAGGTTTTACTGCTGTGCAGAGGCATTCTGAAAGCCACAAAACAAATCATGTATGAAATTTTAAAGGAAGTAGGTTTACCAACTAAAGGATGGTTTGGGGGCTTGGTCACAGTTAGTTCCTGCAGAGCATTGCAACATGATGTGTATGTGTGTCGATAATATAATATGTTAATTGGCATTCCAATGTACATACACAACATACCTGCGTTAAAATACACCACGTCACATGTGTGTGTTATGATGCCTTGCCATAAAAAAAAAACAGTGATTGTTCCTGGGTTGAGGCCCATTCAACATAAATAAGCACCCCTTAAGGTATGAAAGAGTGACCTGCGGTGCATACGCTACCACGGCACACTAGGATGTGAAGTGACTCTTTTTCTGAATTGAATAACTTTAAACCAAAACAATGGTATGACTAAAGCTTGGCCAGATATCACAGCTTGGTATAAACTTACCACAAAAAAACAGAGTATACATTAGGTACCTAGGTGGATCCTGGTCAATATGATTAGCATTATCCCAATTTAGGGCATAAATACTAGCCTTGGGGAACACTAGTCATAGGCCACGCCTATGTCAAAAGGAATTGAACTCCCAACTACTGCCTGTACAAGCATTTTACCAGCCTTGTAATTATGTCGCCAGTAAAATTAAGTGGGGGGGGCACAGGCTTGGGGGTAGAGACATTCTAGAAAAGGCCCAATATATTCTACAGCCAGTGTATGTAAGGTTATCATAAAACAGTACAAGTAGCAGGCCTGCCTGACTTCAACAACAGTTTCTTTTTTCAAAGTGCACTAATCCTTTAACTGCATTGTAAATATTTATTGCAGAATGCAGCACCTATTGTTGCTGGTGACTAGCGATAATAAAAATATGGTGCTATTTCAGAATTGCTCTATAATCTTACTTTATACCGCCTTACCTTAAATGACCTAAACCAGGAGGACACAAGCGGCACATCATATTCTAGTTTATGTTTTACACATCTATCACTATCATAATAGAATATGACCCACTTCGCTATTCTGCAAACTTTAATCTATCAAATTTCAGCTGTTTCCTTATGGTAAATATGATCATAATGCAGACAATTGACAACAATGGCTGTTTATTGTTAACAACAGCAACAAGAAAGAACATTATTTCAAATAATATTGCACCGTATTTATCGTTTTGTTTCCTCCGCAAGAACTTACCAAGGCATCAAAGACTAATATATCATATGTTTCCGTATCAGAGTTTTCCATTATGATGTTAAACAGCGCATCCAATGTGTCCTGCAAGAACTACAGGTAGAGATTCTGAGTTAACATCATGGCACATTTTGTAAATTAGAATAGTGCAAAATTCTGTCTTGAATTTTTAAACTGACTGCAGACAAAACATTTATGATAAATGGGAATCTGAAAATGCTGCTTTTACTTTGATAAAAAGGGAACACTGAAAAATAACAGCTTTTAAATAGATTCCCAACAAAGTAAAACATGTTGTTCACTCCTCAAGAAAACCTATCCAAATGTTTGATTTTAATTTGGCAATCATTTTTATATGGTATATTTTGAGTTAAACTGGGAGTTTTATCATGTGTGTCAAACCCGTTTCCCTCCCGAGTGTATACTGAGGAGAAAAAAGCGTTCAGCGCCTCGGCCCTCTCCTTGTCGTTTGTGACTAGCTTCCCGCTTCCATCCTTTATACACCACATTTTGGCTAGCTAGCTAGCTGTATGGAAAATGCTAGCTGTATGGTTGACATGCTAGCCCTTTGGCTTCAAAAGGACCTCTTGCATATCAGAAGAAGGCACACAAGTGTGTCCCAGACCACCTGCCAAACATAGTGGTTTTTCACTGAAAACAGCATTAGGGGGCAGTCTTATTGCAGCATCGCTCGTCACAAAGCCTGTACAACTCCAACATAAAACTCATCCTGTGTGAACCGTCATATTCTTTGACAGGAGATTAAAGCATATGTCAGGGACACGGGGAACACTACTTTGACTTGTTTGACTTTGTGACAGCTTCAGCCAAAATGTGGTGTTCAAAGATGTTGGCAAACTGAATCAAACTTTGATCTCTGCAGCTGAGTGTTCAGGGCCTCTTACCTGCAGATACATTTGGAGGGAATAATCTCCCTGCTGGATTTTTCATTGTTTTTACAATACAAGACAATGAAATGCACTGACAAGACTTTTCCTGCTGCCTAGTAAGGATAAATATGGGTGGCAAATATGGGAATTACAGTGGGGAGCCTCCCCTGGAGACTCTAATGGATGAAATAATTAACAAACAGTCATCTACCAAAAACGGAATTATCCTGGTGTGACTCTTTAAATTAACACTTTGACTTTGCCCAAACTGGGCAAATGTTGTAGTGTCTATGTAAAGCCAACGCCCTGACCCACTTTATACTCACCTCTTTTGCTTTTTCCAGCTTTCTCCAACTGCAGCCATAACCAAAACACAATGTCAAAGCTTAGAGGAGGCAGTTATGTCACTCCACAGCCATGTGACAGTACTCTTTGTTTCGGTTCTAGACCCAAGTATTACATCATGGGGGGTGGTTACATGTTTCCCCACATCCATATGCCCCAGGTATTTTGCACCGGCTAGGGCAGTGGAAGGAGTGATATACAGACACTATCACTTATTTCTGAATATGCAAAGTCTTCAAGCTTCTCTTGAAAGCTAAACTCGAACAGTGAATAAGTAGTAACATCACCAACTCTCATTCCAAATCTGGTGAGACCATCAACCAAAGGTAGCAGTGTCCGAGATCTCACACACTACAAATATACAACTATTAGGCTTTAGGCACAGGAAGTGTACTGGTGATTTTCAGGAGAAATTCAAGACAAAAAAATAAATTTTTCAGACTACTGTTTGGGAGCAATTATCACTAGGTGTCCCCTTTAAGAAATCTTTACTTTCTGAGTTGAGATCCACTTTAAAAGCTTATGTTCTACATTACAGTAACTCTAGTGAATTAGACCCCATACGTTAAAGTAACTTGTAAAGCAATTTTTTTTTTTTGGCCCAGGACTTCCTTAAGCCTCTTGCAAGAGACACTTCTAAATACAACTACCTTGTGAGCCTTTCAAATATACTTCTATTATCTCAAATTATTTATCAAATGGGAGACATACAACATATAGCAAAAAGCAAAAAGCTGAAGTACAGGATGCGGTGAAAAGACTGGTGTTTACCTTTACAACTTCTCCTCCATCAACGTTCATTAACTGGCACAAATTCTGCTGCAGTAAGTTCGTATTAGAGCGCCACTTCAAGAGACCCAACAAATCCACTGAAAGAAAAGAAACATACCACATTTAAAAAAGCAAATCAAATAGTGGATTTGGATATTTTGAGATATCAAAACTGAATTTGAGGCATGCTGGTCATTTAAGGGTCACAATTCCAAAAGGAACTGAAATTTATTTAGACCAACTTTAGGGATATTTCAAACCATTATCCAAAAAATTCCACAAAATGCGGCTACAAAAGGAAAAATAAAAATATTACTTTTATAATTTTATAAAGATCCTCTCACAACTGGGCTCACAAAACATTTAAATATCCAGTCTTAAATGGTAATTGTGCAGCTTTATATGTAAAACGAAAGCCACTTGTTCCATATCTACACTTCTTTTAAGAAATATCTCATCAAACATGGAGGCTGCCATTGCTGAGCTCTCCTGAAAATGCTAGCTGTATGGTTGACATGCTAGCCCTTTGGCTTCAAAGCTTCTGAGTCAATGGCCTACAATAAGTATGCAAATCCAAGCCACTGACATTTATTTGATCAGCATGCTTGCTCCAGATCAGTTACTAAAAAGTATTGAAGCCAGTGGGGCAGAATAACAACTAAGAATATTCAGAAGGAGGTCATCACTTGCTTGCATTCTCTATGGTTCTCTTATGACAGGTTTCTATTACCTACATGGCTCTGTTATTTCAGGTAACCTTTGCAACTCATGATTATCAGCTCGACCTAGCCACATTCATTCATGTCCTCTAGTTTCATCATGATACTACAAGGAGTCACTGAACTGAACAGTAATAAAAGCTAGCATCTGCCAACATATTTAAAAGTATTTTATAGGCTTAATTAGGATTTGTCTTCTGCTTGTGACACAGTGAGGAACATGCCTTCATCATCACCCTCAAACGCCAGTCACATCCGCATCCCGCTGTTCTCTACATCTGTATGGTGCTTCAAGTGCAGACTTTTAGTCTCAACATCTAATATGCAGAAACATCACCTATCCAACTCAGTCTGGGATGTTGAGTCCTCTGTATAATTTAGGAGCCAACTGGGTGCATTTTCCTACCAGCAGGGCAACAGCATATATAAAATACAATTTTCACACAACCAGCATAACAGGAAAACAAGATATCTATCTATACTGGTTGTGTGGAAATTCTGTCATGATACAGAGTAGTTTTTTTTGTCTCGACAGTGAAAGTAACACTGTATTACCTGGTAAAACGATTGCACTATAATACAAGGTGTGACCCGAAGGTGGCAACTCAGATTCATTTTGAAATCCCAGTCTTAAATAAATGGGAGAGAGGCAAACAGCTGGCACATTTTATTGTACTATGGAACTGTTTTATAGAAATTGGCATTTTAGCCAAGACCCAACAATACTTCAGAGAGCCATACCCCAGGATCTTACCATTCTGTGTGAGTTTAGTTGAGCAGACGAGAGTGGCTATTTGGAAGGAGTCTTTGCTGATGGTACAGCTGCCTAAATTCTGCATGCTTTTCCCCAGAGATGCGTGTCCTTTCTCCTCCAGTTCAATTTTTGTGGCAGGGAGGCCCAGGTATGTCGATGCATCTTCAAGCTTCTTCGCCTCTGCCTTTTTGCAAAAAGAATAACAAAAGCATTATGTGCAATCTGCAAGTGAAATGTAGATACGTAAATATCCAGACTTAAATGCTTTTAAGTCTCCCTAGGTCACAGCTGAACACCTAGGCCATTTCTCACAAAGTATAAGCAGTGGGAAACGGCCAATTATAAAATGTTCTTTAAAAAGCAAGCCATTTAATAAGAGAACAAGGGATCTTCCAAAATGTAAACAAATACTTTATACACAAGAAAAAGCAGCCAGCATACCTCAATTTCTGTGAATAATGCACTTAATTGCAACAATAATTTAAATTCCCAACTTGTGATTCATGGATTTGTTCTACCAATGATAGATATCCAATTAAATGTTACAATAATTTCCAATAATTCTGGAAAACAAGTACCATGATAAACACAGGTGTAAATCACTAATCTATTTTTTATATTAAGTAGAGATAATTTATTATGGAAACAGCATTTTCTGCAGAGAAGCATGAGAACAATATTGAGCTGAATCCTGGGCAGCCTTTTAGTCTGCAGCTTTGGGTTCTAATACAACCAGCTCAGAAACTTCGAGAAATGCATCTTTATTTTATGGAAATTCAAAGACCTTCTTTAGATATAAAAAAAAATGGTGTACACACCTTGGTTCTTCCAGTGGTGATGCTTTTAATATAGTTTGTGACAATTACAGCCAACTCTATAAGCCTTCATGGTATTTACCTATAACCTTGGTAGATCAGCAGAGCGGAATGTTATGTGTGGCTGTTTTAGCTGTCGTCACCACCTTGGAACATCAATGTAGGTGATACCAACCTCAATTGATATCTTCCACAATCAAATCTACTTACAATGGATGTCTTCTTCAGCACCCTGAGTGGCCAGAATATGCACTCTTACACTTCCTAATAATATTCCTGCCTCTTCCTATTGACTGTAAGGCCATGCATTATAAGACCTGGCCAATAGAAAGATGCAGGAGGGGGCAGGCCAGCTCTTGACAGACACCATTAGCAAGTGTCAACATTTTCAGATTAGCAAATCCTGGATGCTAAAAAAAAAAAAAAAAAAAGTAGTGCCGCAGTGCATCCAGTGCTAAATTTGAATTCACATAATTGGATGGTCTTTATCAGGTCAAAAAACAATATACAAGTTATTACAAGTTATAGAAGTGATGATTTTCTTTGGACATCATTCCATAAGCATGCAATGTTTCAGTGAGAGAAAAATCAGTCAAACTGTCTTACATTTCAAATGTAATTCACTATACAAAACTAATGAAGGGACTTACATTACCTTGTAAACAATGAGATCATGCTCTCCGTCTCTTAGTGTTGTTCCATCATATCTCATTAGTTTCACAAATGCTACAGCAAATATCTTTTCTGACTTGTCTTTAGCTGTGGAAGAAAAAACATACAATACTTTTATTCCTTACATGAATGTTGTTCAAACATGGAGAAGTGCTGGGAAAGCCTTATATAGCAGTTGACTTTTATATCATGATGCAACAAAGTAACCACTCTTGTTGGATACAGCAACTGGGGTCTTGTGAATAGCAGTGGGTCCCACTGTGTACCACTGATTTCTAATACAGTGGGGTTGATTTAATATAGGCAAATAGGCTGTTCACGTTGCAAGATAGTTTGCCATTAACTTTATGTGGTGAAAATCAAACAGTATTTTTGCTTGCACATGATTGGATGATGGAAGTCAGCAGAGCTTCAACTCAATCGGTAAACTAAAAAAGAGAAAATCTTACTGCATAACGAACAGACTATTTGCTTTTAGTAAATAAATCCCAATGAATCTAGCATGTGCTTTTGACTGGAGGAAGGGTTTGCTGCATCACCCAACAGCAGTTTTCTGAAGCAACATTCCCTTTCAGAGTAAATTTTTCATTGTGCATGAAGCCATGCCGGTTTGTTACGATGGCACAGGTCTACCAAATACCATTATGGTACTACCAATGAATCATTTCTTTGTCAATGGGGTGACACAAAGTAGACTGAAAGCAATAATACAGAACTAGTTGCATGGTGTGGTGTAATAAATAGCAGGCACAATGCACAAAAAAAATCTAGACAATAAAAAAATACTTTGGGCCTGTTCAGACTATAAATCCTTGACGAGGCAGTGTACTTTGCAAAAGGTGTGCAAAAATAGTTTGTGTCATTTTTTTTTTTTTTTTGGAGAGTCTTCTAAGAAATTTTTACTTTTGTAAATCTTCTGCAACCAGCATGTCCCTAGTAAAATACTGGGTGCATTTCTAGCAAGTCCCAAACAGTGTTAATAAAACACTCATTAAACATTTAGAAACACTCATAAAACACTTGTTAGAAGTGCTTACAAGATTTTAAATGCCCAATAACACATCAATTTTATTTGAACACCCTCACAAATACTCCTAAAATGTTGCTGAAAAACACTTGTAAAAGCACAATGAAGCTGCTTAAACCCGCCATTTCAGGGGCTCCTGGTGTGAACAGGTGCTTAGCGCATCACTTTACTTACACTCTTGAGATGATCGGTGGCGAAACGTGAACCTTAAATGGCTCCGATTCACATCTTCAATCGGGATTGCAACCTGGAACAAAATGCAATACGTTTATGTGCATTCTTGTCTAGCAGTGGCTAAGCAAATGCCTTCTTTAATTGTCTCCTGTGCCAATCCTGCTATCAGATCAGATTGCCGTGCACAGTTCATCATATGCTCTAGGCCTTATTATGCAATGTGCCTAAAACACGTAATTAATCTGCATTCCAGTCGTTTCTTACACACTTGAATACATGTAAGGGTCCGTACAATAAAGCCCGTTAGGGTGAAATGCGTCTACTGCTGGGAGGTTTCTGGGTGGTGACAAGAGAATATCAGCTGCTGGATTTAAATAAAGTTTTAAGGTGACATCATTGGGTTGCCGCACTTTATTGTGCGTTTATGACATAGGTGAACTGTTTTCCCTTTCAAAAGGATTTTTATTGCTTTCCAGTCCTTAGATTTACACAGCTCTACCACACAACACAGTTTTTCCTGGAAGGAGGACCTGATCTTTCTTTGCTGCAGTTTTCCTCTCGCATATAGGTAACCTCCCCACCTCCTCCCTGTGACTGTACAGTACAAGGAGAAGCAACAAACTGATAAGCTCATCTCTCAGTCACTCTGCTCTTTCCTCTTAGCATATGTCTGTAAAGGTTCTCATTCATCCAGGTCATGGTATGTGTGTAAAAAATAAGTCAAGTTAACTGGACTTGCTGTATTTTTCTTAAATACGTTGATGGAGAAGCCAAGCTCGAATAGAGATGCTGGGGGTGAGACATCTATTGTCTGCCACCTACAATGCTGTTTTAACCTCTCTCTGGGCAGGTTAATAACACCTCCTAGACTCCAACTATGCAAATGCAATAAACACCTGGTTGTGACTAACAGATTATGTGGATTGGAGCAACATTCACCATATTTATTGCCAGATAATTTTTTGTACAAGTCATTCTGAATTGAGAAAGCTGGTTGGATGACCAGTGAAACGTCTTCAAGAAAAATACAGCAAGTCCAGTTGCCTTGACTTATTTTTTACAGATATTTCCTTTTAGCAGCATGCGCCTTGCACTGAACACACCTGATGGGCTGCCTCTCCCTCACCTTTTCTAAGCTCTGCTTTATATGCACTGCAAGACGCTTATACCAAGTCATATTAAGATACTTGCATTTAAAGACTGTAATAATGATTACAACGCTGCATCAATTTGTCTTTTATATCTCCCTGGAGTACAGGTTTAAAACTAAGAAGATGAAAGGGAAAATCTAAGTGGCTGCTGTGGACAATAAAGGAAATCCATTCTTCGGGCACTCTGGGTAAATTAGGCCCAATTTACAACTCAGAAAAAAAAATATTTTACATTTGAAGGACTACACAGTTAGACAAAAACAGCAAACTGTTTATTGTTTAAGCTTGCTTGTTTGATATCATTATTTGGGAAAACATGTTGGATTTGTATTTGTAATTAACCATAATAATCTGGTGACAAACATCCCACATTCTTTTCATTACCTTAACAGTTTCAAACCAGCGGGGCTGCTTCACTTGATAGTATATCACAGATTTGTATTCTGAAATCGCTTCATCTCCTGCCCCCGGGTAAATCACATTCTTGAAAGAGAGGAGGACAAAACAAATACATTCAAGTGTGTTCCTAAACGGACAGCTTTATAATAAAGCACCCAAAACTAATACACTAAAGCCATTAATGGCATTAGGAGTTTACTGCTTAAAGGGGAAATCCGACTGATATTGTGTTCTAAAATAGTACAAGAAGCATGGAAGATGCATCAGAGATTTTAATAGTACAGATATCCAATATAGATAATGGTTTTTCAAAAGGAAAAAAAAAGCAGACGTGCGCATTAACACAGGCCATACACTATAAGAATGTAGTTAGAAACATTTTTGATCGTTTAATTTTCTAATAGTTAATAGAGTCAAATTGACGATCGTTTTTGACCATAGTGACGAAAAAAAATAAAAAAATGAAGGAGCAGGGAGGAAAATTTTTCTTGAAAGAATGAATTTCAAAACAGTGAATGTGATTATTGTTCAGGAAACTCCATTCATGAAAAACTTGAATGTAAAAAATAAATGAAATTTTAACGACATCCGTCAAGTCTCCAATGGCATTATCGAATGTCCTGATGAGATATTTCATATGAACGTTCACACAAAATCCAACCAGTGTATAAGCAGCTTAAAAGTGAAAACTAAATTCAGGAGATGAATCTTAAAAATAGGGGAGGGGGCTATGCTCGTGGTGCACGTTTTTTTGGGGGGGGCGTTTTGAAAGGGTGGTTGGGATAGTTAGTCGATTTTGGTGCACGTTACAGGAGTGGTGGGGACAGGTGGCTCATAGTGGAATGGGAAAGGGGGGAGAGAGTTCATGGTGCCCGACGTCCCGCCCAGCTCACTGATGTCACTGGTTGCCAGGAGCTGGGCAGGATGCCAACCAGAGTATCATCATGCTCAGCTCCTGCCAACCAGTGACACCAATGAGCTTGGTGGGATTACTGGCTAGGGCATCACAGGTTGCTAAGAGCTCTTAGCAACCTGAGGCACTCTAGCCACAAAGGTTCTGGCCCAAGATGATGCGTCTGCCTGAGGCAACCACATCAGGCTGCCTCATTATAGGGACGACTCTGGCTGGAAACGTTAGCAAAGGAAGAAGATACAATACCTCCAATCTCTTTCCATCTTCATCAAAAACAGAGACCGTGACTTCCACATTTTTGGCAGTGGTTTTGTTGCCTCTGTCAAAATCACCTTGGAGAAGTGTGACATAGATATCATTGCGTACATCGCCTGCAAATTATGACCAAATTGTAAGTTAGCAATGCACATCTCTGGAAAACATCATGTCTATAAAGCTAGACATACAAATGCCTGTAAAAGAAAAGAAGGTCACAAGCAAAGTTTCATGTTTACTCTGGTTTGCAGGTCCCCCACCAATATATTTAAAGGGCAAAAAAAAAAACATTTACCATTACCATTTATCTGGTATATGACAAAGATAATATGAGCCTTCTACTCTTATCACAGCTGTATCATAAGTCTCATATCATAGGGATCCATGATACATGTCAAAGTACATGAAACCCCTAACTGGATGGCATTTTGTTTTTTAAAGCAATGTGTATCAAGCAATTACCAGGGTATTGGTCTTTTAGAAAATAGTGTTTTCATTTGTTTTGACCTTTTGTTGTATCTCAGTGCTGATGATTTCCTGCAGCCACTTTCTGTCTATATGCAGTTCAGTGATTGCTGTACTAGAAAGGTGGACCATGAATGTTTAATGAGCATTGGCAGGGCTGCTTACAGTTTAATATGCTTTAAAAAAAATACCACTCATATCTGAGATACCATAACAGAGATGCTCATTATCAATATATATCATAAGTAATATATAAATCAATCTTTATATAAGATGTATCAATCTGTTAATAGACTTACACCATTAAAACACTACCATCTCCCTATAGCACTGTACAGAACTTATAGCTATATAACAATAACATCAATTAGATACTGTAAATCAAGCTTTAATATATAAACATTTCTTTTTATATTTGCCTCAATAATATATTGTATTGTATACTCAGGTTACATACTGCATCCTAAAAGTCTTCTGGTGCACCAGATATTATACATGATATTCCACTATATCTCATGATGGGCTTAAGAACCTTTGTCAATTGTTTGCCATGGTCTCCAATATCTAAAAGTTCATATCTTTCTTTAGACAACATCTTCAACTTATAGTTTACACTAGGGATGCACTGATACCAGTTCAGATACCAGTGCAGATACTTGGCATTTTCATGAGAACTATGAGGGTTGCAGCTGGGACCTGGCTCTGGCGCTCCACCACTGTCCTGAAATCATTAGTCTGTATTGTTTTAGAAAAACTGTCAAATGACAATACACAAAAATGTACTTGGGCGAGTATCAGTACTTGTACTTGTAAAAATGGTATCGGTGCATCCTTTTATATATGTTTGTAAAAACAAAATCATACATTAAAACAGAGATGTACAAATCCCAGGAGCTCCGTGTGCTCCTTACAAATGACTACTGCCTCCTAACTTTTGAATTTTTCCCTAGTCGAAAAGTATCTGTACTTGTACGGAGTATGGTACAAGGTATCGGTGCATCCATAGTTTACACTGTATTATTGTAGTGAAAGCTGTACATGCAAGAGGACAGAAAATAATTTTTTTAAATGATCTTAACATGTTAAAAAATATATAAGATTTTAATTATCGGGTCTAATAGACGCCTGTTTTGTCCATAAGGAGGAGCTGTGACTTCCTCTATGCCATCACATAAGGGGTTTGTTAACCTCATACGTGGCAGCAACACATCAAAGATGAAGAGTCGATTCTATCCAAAACTTGAACGGAGAGGCACACATATTCTGTTTTGCTTTTGGCATGGTGAAATGAACCACAATCAATATAAATGTATTTTTACTTATTTATTTTTGCCAGTTCTGGACAAGTCTCAAAAATGTAAAGCCTAGGCCAACACTCTAAATGTGTTTAAACCCAAGAACAAAAATGTACTCTATTGCAGCTCAGATGGCTGCATTATTTTTTTTCTTTTTGCCTTTGTTTTTCTTTTATTTTCACTTGGTGATCCTGCCAGCAACACACTTCCTAACCTAGGGTGACCACGCTCACACATTTTAAGGCATCTTTGAAAGAGCAGCAATGTAACCCTAGGACAAGACAAGAAATGTATTAAGACAACAGAACACCTATACCACTGCACATCTCCATAACAATTGGGGAGAAGTGTTCTGTAGCCCACAGAGGTCAACAGGGTAGGGCTGAGAACACTGCTTGGAATGTAAGTGCAGCATAGGCAGAGAGCATGGGAAGTTATTAGCTCGTTGGAGCTCTGTCAGGATCAATAGATTTTATTTTTTTGTACTGATCAGATAAAAAAAAAACACTTTTACTGATATATTTTATAGATCAAAAAAGACTAGTTCATTGTTTGGGTTGACATAAACTTTAAAAGCCAGCAATGTTGTAACAAACCAATGTCTGAGGTATACAAAGGATTTTACGGTTGCAGTAACTCATCCTAGCTAAAAGCTCTGCACGGCAATGACAAGAATACAGTATATACACATTCTAGCCACCTACTGCTTCAAGCATCTCACTCAAGAAAGAGAGATTATTATTCTCAGTCCACACAACACCTCACGTAGCTCTCATCCTAAAGCCTAGAATCACATTATACTCATCTTGGTCACTGACCTCAGATTGATCCCTACTAACATCACTACACCTGGGTCTAATGACAGCATTCAAATCCAAAGAATAATCCTGTATTCCATTACTACACTCAGCATGAGCCTCCAACCCTCACTGTACTCTGGATGCATCAAAGTCTAGCACCACATAATGTCCAAAACTATATAATATATAACTTGTGCAACCTTAGTCTCATGCTTTTATGTGGATCGAAACAATGGAACAGAAGCTTTCTGAACTGTTGATTCTAAACTTCATAAAATGTGAAAAGAGAGAGAGAGAAAAAAAGGTATTGAAAAGTATTGATGTTCATAGCTAATGCTCAAACGATTGTTTCCACTTTCTTGCTGCAATAACAGATTGGGTTTTGATTAGCTATGGAAAAGAAACAATGTAAAAGAAATGTTTATTTTGTGGGGTTTCGTTGCTGATCGTAGCTAGTTTGTAGGTGTCTGAAAATGATTGTTGTCCACACATGAAGCATATCTGTTATTTCTATCAGAAAGAAATTAGCTTGTAAAGGGATGTATGAGGGTGCATACTCTTGGTGATAAAAGGTGCCCTGGTCTAAACAGAATAGAAATTATAAGTAACTGACCACAATGGCACCATGATGATGGGAAAATAGAACATGGATGTTTTACAAACTTTACACCCCACCTTCATGTTCTTGGACAATCAATATCTATCTTGACACATTCCATAGTGATTGGCTAGAGGTGACTGGCAAATCACTATGCACACCAAAAATACTCGTCTTTAATTATGTCAGATTTTCATAATATCGCAAATCAAGCATTTTTGTTCAGCCGATGACTTGCTTTCTATTTGTGTACATGAGTGGCGCCATCCGCTTTTCACTGCAGCACCCCCTTGGAATAATATAAGAAAGGGACTTACCGGTAAGAAGTGCAATGGGGCACATGAAACGCAAGCACACAGGCACAGCAAGGCATGACAGTTTCCAGCTCCCCTCTTCCCTAAGCTAGTATATGGGCAGCTCCCAAATACTGCTCTGTCCCTTGTGATCCTACACTCAACAGGAAGTTCAGGCAAGCCTAGCTGAGAGCATTGGAGCTGCTCACAAACATGATGACTAAGTGCATAGGCAAAAATGTAAAGAACTGCTTCGGTGGGCAATGCATATTTCTTTGATCTGGATTCATTATTGAAAACAAGATTGAGAGTTTAATACTACTTTAAAAGCACCTACGCATGAACAGCAAAGATCATCCTAAAATGATGATTCCAACTATGTCAAGCAACTGTATATACTGTAAGTGATGGAGACTAATATAAGGACATGATTATCAGATAAATAGCTGGGTTGGGTGGAAGTTTTTGTTAACTGATTATTATCAGCCTAGTATAGGAATGTCTACCAGCACCACATGTTTATGCATGCACAAGCAAATGGAGGTGAAAGGTCACCCGTCAAAACATGTACCAAGTGCAAGAAAATGGCCAGCTGTTACATATGTGTACACTATATATCAAATCAATGTAAAATTTATATTTTACTTTGACACTTAAAGAATGATAAATCCCCAGGTGTTTAAATACTTTACTTTTATCGCCCAGCAGTGACTTAGGCTAAAGAACTTGCCATCTACTTACTTATGAAGGTGATTTTGGTTATGAGTACATTCCATTGGAAAACAGTCTGCATAAGCTGTATTCAAGAACTGTACAAGTCCATGGTAGAAAGTTATTAACACATTTCCACACAGTCCTGACGGTGGAATCTCTGAAGAGCCGATATCAAGCAGCAACTTGCATTGTACTTAATTTCCTTTAAGAGCAAGTGATGAAAAGAAAGCCTCCAGATAGAAAACCCCAAGCCTTGCTAGAGTTTAATGTAACAGTCAGGATGTTCTATTGCGCTGGTGATGCTCATGCATAATTAATGGAAGAACATCAGTGAGCTTTCATGGCTTATAAACCTACCAAGTAGAAAACCAGGCCAGCACAAAGTAACACACTCTGCTTCTAGGCTACATATTCTCTGAAAAAAGAAATGTATCCAATCGACCATCATAGAATAAAAATCTAACACTTTTGTGTGAATTTATACATCGCCACACTTTCCTTGAAATAATAAAAAAAAATTAAAAAGTTCAAAAGTTCAGAAACAGTTTTAAACTTTCATATGTATATCAGAGTAATGCTAGCTGAGACAAAAAAATAAAAATAAAATAACCACAAACATACAAGTCACATTGTGTGGACTTAGTACTCCTCATTATGATAGCAAGCTTCAGCAGTGCCCAGGGATGGATTTTGTTTTGCGGGCAAGCAGGGCTAAATGTAGAGCAGGGAAGCCTCTGCTCATTTTGTACAAGTGATTTGGGCAGCTATACAGTTGCCCAGATCACTTGTAGCAGCCTGCTTGTTCGTCCCCCCTGATAAACCTCCCCCCTCCCCATTGTTTTTCGGGTTCTTCTTTGCGGGCAATGTTTTCAGGATAGAGAGAGGGGAGCAGACCAGCAATCGTCCATTCTACAATCCGATCTGTGTGATCAGTGACACAGAAGCTATGCACTCGCACCGCTTCTTGTCACAATGTTGTGCTCGATCTTCTGTATGGGGAGGCACCTCGAAGGGCTATCACATAGGGGATTGTTAGCCACTGTGCGATAGCAATAAAGTTTAGTGGAAAAAAATATATTAAAAAGTCATAAAAAGTAATAAAAATAAAAAAGTGATAAAGAGAAAAATAAAATAAATAAAAATGTAAAAATAAATTAAAAACAACCCTGTAAACACACGCATAGGGCATTGTGTGTGTGCGCTTTGTGAGTGAGCCCCGATTCCATTACGTGCCATATTGTGGTAGCTGGGCAGTAGCACTCTTTACAATGCAGCATGAGGCTAGGTTCACACCTAGGCGACACCTCACTGTGCGACAATCGTGCACGATTCCACGCGGATTGCCGTGCAGTCAGGTGTCACCAAGGCGTGAACTGATTGTGCTGTGTGTGCCATTATTTTCCCACCGCGATTCCGCCCGTGCTTCCGAACACGATCACAGCTGAAACAGCCACGTGTCGTGTATCGCAAAAAAAAGGTACTTGTACCTTTTTTCTGCGATTGCCGCGCGGATGTCACCCATTAAAATCAATGGGATCGCGCGGCAATCGCTGCCTGCATTGTACAGGCCCGCGCGATCCCGGGTGTCGTGCGCTGTAGTGCAGGTGTGAACCTAGCCTTAAGGAGCCTGAAGGAAAACTAAAAGAGTACCTGTTTATTTATCCTATTATAACAAACTAACACTTGTTCATTTATTTATTATGTGAACAAAAACTAGCTTCCATGATTCAGCCCCCTGAAGGATGCCACTATTAGTCAGCAAGGCCTCCTACATTATAATCTAAGACACTTTACACATCATTAATTACCTTTGGCTGCTTTCAGGTTGCATAGATGGGGCTATTGTAAATTCCAAATGCATCCTTCAATGCATGCCTTTCTGGAGAAGGGGAAGGGAGGGTTAGGCACGTCTTGCAATGAGACCAAGCTAAGAGCTGAAGTCAATATTTGAAAAAATAGCTCTCTAGGTTTGGGTGCAGAAGACTAAGGATATGTGGCTTTTATGATGTAGTGCTGTTCTGTATACTTGGGACAGGTAAGGTTTTGTTTTGAGTTTCAATTACCTATTTTGTATCAGTTGCACACTAATGGATGTTGATTTTCTCTTCCCTCCAATTCCCTGACTGTACATTATTCCACTAAATAAAAGCTTGATGAGGCTTTGGCAACAAACATTTCCAGCTAGTCTGGTTAACTTTTAATCAGAATGTGGGCATTTAAATAATATTAGAATTGTAACTACTAAGCCATTATAAGTTTGCTTTTCTTCTAAATACTTTCTTAATACAATTATAACAGTTGTTCTCTTTCAGTGAAGCTCATCTGTACATGACAGCAAAAGTAAAATTCAAGAAGAGACCTTTCTTAGATCACAGATGCCATTAAACACTTAAAATGGGCACAGCATTGTTTTGAGAGCGTTGTTTTCCTCCCAATTCAGGGAATTCATCAGTAATTACACATCACTGGATGTCACCTCTGATTTACATCACAAATGCAGTGCTTCAGCTGTGTGCTGTAATCAAGGAAAGGCCACCTTACAAAGCATGTGAAAACAAACAACCTTTATTCTGAACACTTGCTGATATAACTAATTTTATCATGGCCAAATATGCAGGTTAGGCCAACAATTCAACAGCAAATCTAACAGCAAGAAAACAAAACAAATATATCTATGCTCCAAGAAGAATGGGCCTGAAGTCAGACCTTCAGAGGCAGTATAATAATATACTGGTTTCCCACCAACTCAGACACATGACTCAAGTGCACCAATACATTGTATTCTCATAAACCTCTGCATTGCTACAAGACAACAGCCAAGGCCTACCAGTGACAAGATCAAAGGCTTACCAATACACTACAATACAACAGTTGAGGCCTACCAGTGATAAGCTCCAATACACTGCAATAAAGCAGCCAAGAACAACCAGTGGCATACTCCAATAATTACCATATTCAAAGTGTTGGGCAACAGGAAAATAACTCCACAGAAAAGTCTGACACATCTTCATTGATTTGCTTCACAGGGTGCAAAACAATGGACTGCCATTTGTTTAGTTATATTATGAATGTGAGAACGACCTGTTGTTCCTACCAAGATAGGGGGGCATGATACCTCCTAAATGTGCTTCAAAAGCCTGTACAGAGGATGCTCACATTGTAACAGTCAACAATTTAACTGGGATATTAAGATTATCAGAAGTGTTAGGTAACTGTCCACCGATCATTGTGAAATTGGCAGGACCAGTCATAGATGGGATGTCACTGGAGACAAAAGAACTCAGCAGGCAACATTGGCAATACTTAGCAGAAAAGTCTAATTGTTAAGATGGAAGTTTTTTGGAGTTTTCTTTCTTCAAATATACTCTACAGAAGCATTTCAAGCTTTACAATTGTAATGTTCAAGTATCATAAGGCCCAGTGCATAACACATATAAAACTTGAATATGTGTCAAATGGGGAAAATACAATTTCTAACGTGTCTCAAACATACTGTAATCATCTTTTCACAAAAAAATAAAATCACATCTCTTTAAGAGCACAATTAGGACTTAGATTTGGAACATACATGGAAAACAGAATGCACTCCCCACCAGGGCCGGACTGGCCATAGGGCAAACCGGGCATTTGCCCGGTGGGCCAGGCCGGGCTGAACACAATCAACCTGATTGTGTTCGGGCCGGTCTGCTATGCCCGATGGCCGGCTCTGTGCTCCGTTAATCAGGAGCACAGAGCGGCCACTCGGCCAGGCTGAACAGCAGAGATCCGCCCCGCCCGCATTCCCAGCTGACAGACGAGTGATCTGTGTGTGTCCTGTTAAAGACACACGCACTGAACGGAGTCCCAGAGGAGAAAGTGAGCTGACAGGGAGGAGGAGGCGGGATCACTAGCAGAGTGAGGGGAGCTCCACGACCCCATGCTGGACACAGGAGCCAAACATAGCAGAGACACAGGCAGGACTGCCATCAGGGGGGTATGGATGATACTCATATGAGGGGCCCGGGCCCCTTACATGCGTATCGGCCGTACAAGGGGCAGCATGGGAGAGGGAATAGGTGGAGGCGGCTGGGACCCAGCAGCATCAGACCAGCGGCAGAGGAGGCTGGGCCCCAGTTGCGCTCTGTGGAGTCTCAGGGGGGTGCGTCACTAATCGCTGCGTCCAGCCAGCACGTCACTAATCCCTGTGTCCAGCCAGCACGTCACTAATCCCTGCGTCCAGCCAGCGCATCACTAATCCCTGCGTCCAGACAGTGCGTCACTAATCCCTGCGTCCAGCCAGCGCGTCACTAATACCTGCATCCAGCGAGTCAACTGTATCCCTCCTGTACTTACCAGCAACTGGCCCCACCCCTCAATTGCACTTCAGTGTTTGGCCATGCCCCTCGAGTGCACCTCCATGTTTGGCCCCACCCCTGGATTGGGGCGGGGCCTTCGGGGTCACATGATTGGGCTGGTCTAAAATGCCCGGGCCTATTTTTTGTCCCAGTCCGGCCCTGATCCCCACCTTGTCAAATCTACAGCTCTTCAATCAGCAGGGAGTGTGACCATAGCAGATTGGAGAGCAGTAGTTGTGGCTGTGTGGGGGTTATTTTGGACTGCTGGAGATAGATTGTTTAAATAACAGATTTCATATTCAACCTGCTGCCGGAAAAGAGCATTTGGAGGTATCCCTGGAGTGCTATTAAGAGATTAAAAGAAAACAAGGCTCTTCAATACTTTTCTTTTTTTTTATGAACCCCAATTTTCTTTGTTTTTGATATGAAATTACAATTTGGCCTAAGGAGGCAGTTTGAGCTACAACATGTTTAGCCTTATAAGCTTTATAGTTCTTAGCTTATATTAATGAAAACAAGCAAAATTGTGTGGAGATGCCCATTTGTGTTGCATACAATGCATTCCATTAAGACCGGTTTTAAAAAGTTTGCATTTGATGTGTTGAAACTCACCTGGCATGATAATTTCAGGGAATCCCATTTTCCGTGCAACAGCTGTAGACCTGTCCACCAGGTGAGGAAATTCCTTACGAATCTGATGAATGTCACCAGGGAGCAGTTTCATTGTGACCCAAAGACCTGAACGAGAAAAGGAAAAGCTTACACAATGCTGTTTATCTTGATTTCATCTCTGGCTTCATTCACAAGAGTTGTTTTCCACAGCATGTACATAATCATTAAAAAAGATCATCTTTAACTCAGTTTTAGGAGTTTCTATATTTCAGGTGTTTTTTTTTTATATGCATACCACACATTAACTTATCGGTTTCCATGCATCTTGAATAGATTTACAGCTGAACTCCAGGACAGCGATCAAATACACATATACAGTAAATATAACCGTAATTCTGTCCAGTCTTGTAGTGCAAAAACACACCATGCCAAACAGTGCAGCAAAGTACTGGACTCTTCTGCACACCACTACTTGACCCAGGACCCAACCCAAACTTTAAATGGACAATGAAGGAGCAGTATCACATTGATGAGGTCCTTTCATTTTCTCTCCCCACCAGTAAGCATGTTCACAGCAACATACAAAAACAGAGCTCTGTTTGGCTCAGTGTACTGCTTTCTCTTTCCCAGTCAGAGTGCTGCTGTACAGGTGAACACCTGGCTGATATCAAGACACAGTCAAATATACTGCCTTGACAAATAATAAGATCACACACTTGTTGGAGCCCCTTTAGCTTTGATTACATCATGTATTAACAGTGGCAATGTTTCGATAAGCTTGTCATAACATTTATTTCATTCCAGAGTTGTATTCATGTTTCACCAAGATCATGTAATGATGATGGGAAAGTCTGACCACTGTGTAAAGTCTTATCCAGCACATGCCAAAAATTCTCAATGGGGTTAAGGTCTGGACTCAGTGATGGCCAATCCATGTGTAAAAATGATGTCTCATGCTCCCTGAACCACTCTATCACATTTTAGCCCTATGAATCCTGCCATTGTCATCTTGGAATATGCCCAATGTGCCATCAGGTGATGGCACATTGGGAAAAACCTGGTCATTTAGTATATTCAGGTAGGCAGCTGACCTCATTTTTTGGGGATATAATGTTGCTGAACCTAGACCTGACCAACTGAAGCAATCCCAGATTATAACACCTATCCAATGAAAGGCTCTTACCTATTTGCTTAGCAAAATCGACTTAGCTACTTTTTTGGGCAGGCAGTGTATATTATGCTAGGTATGTGTAGAAATACATTTAAATTTACAAATGAATAAACAACTGGATTACATAATGTTTTTCACACCTGCATGGAGATCAGCTTTGTAAACTCAGCTCATTAAGCATGCATTTTAAACACAGCAAACTGACTTAAAATAAACGCACTTGCTTCTGAGCACAAAGCAGGTAAACGCATTGGACACAGACATAAGATGACTGT